TTTCAGATAACGAATAAAAGTATCGAACACAGTTATTAAACGACTTATTTGTTATTCATGAAAAAAAAAAATACGTTTTGTAGATCAATGTCGATGATATACACGCTGAAAATTTTATCAAAATCGATGGATGGAGAAACAAGCGACAGGCATCGAAAGATGTAAGAATCTGCAGATTTATTAGTTTTACGCGAACCGATTTCGATGAAATTTTCAGCGTGTGTGTCATTGACATAGATCTACAAAACGTATTTTTTAAATTTTCATTACTAGCTCAGATATAAAAGTTGTAAAAACGAACTTCGCTATTTTCTTCGCGATTCCGACTAATTGAAGTTTTTTCAAAAATTTATACAAACGTCGGAATGACGGTAAAAAACCATTTCTCTAAGCCTTATAAAAATAGCGGTGCAAAGTCAAATTTTTTTGACAGCGATCGGTAACCGAGAAGTCACGCGTACGCGTCGTTCACGATAGCGCGCGGGTGAAATCTCTGTTCGCCCGTCCCTGAGCGCTGGCTCTACGGGCGCTGTGATTGGCCAGTGTTTTTCGTTAATAACTCGAAAACGAAGCTTCAAACCACATTTTGGATAAGGAAAAAGTTGTTCAGGATCACCCCAGCAACCCCCCATTTCCGGATTTTCCCAGAGTTACGGGACACCCTGTATACATACTTAGATTCAGTTCCGGTCAGGTGTGATTTCGTTCCAGCAAAATATTCTTTCCAAGGATTGTTTCTGAGACGAGATTGAACTGTGATCGGAACGTTACTCTTAGGGTGAATATGTACGATCTGAACCATGGCATAATATTTGATCAAACCAAGAACGGATTGACAGTGTGTATCTAGCCTAAAAATGCATAACTTTTGAACCAATGGATTCCTAGACTAAAAACTATTATATTTCGTCTCTATTCATCGAGTAGAGGAGACTGGGGCTAAAAGTTACGGAGGTAAGTTGTTACAATGGTTATAACTTTAAAACGAAAAGAGATAGGATTGTGCTTTCAATTGTTTTCGCCATATGAGTCGATCATGCCACTCTGTCCATTTTAATAGCATCTGCGACAGCGAATCTTGTGGTTATAAGCAACCACCTAAGTCACGTACAGAAAAATACATATTTGTCGTTCATTAGTTTTTCGTGTATTTCAATTATATAACGTCGAAATAATAAATTGTTTCGTCCTTATGGATCGAATGACATTTAAGAACACGTTGCAATAGTTTTTATTAGACTATTTCAATACATAAGCAGAATATTCACATAAATTGCCGAGTGTGTCGATTGGGGCTCTTTGTTCCGCTGGTTTGGGGTCGGTTGTATACCTGACCCGTGAGCAATAGAGTATTTTGTCGGACAGGCAAATATCTCAATAAATACACATTTTAGACATATTACACCTAAATATTTATTTACTCAGCTTTTAACGCTCTCTTAATTTCCGGAAAGAAGTACGGGGTGTTGCATTTAAAAAAATCATGGTGACCTTTATGTATAAAAACAATGTAAAAAGAAAAATTATTGTAACATATGCTCCCCTTGAAATCGTGCAACTTTTGTTTCAAACATTATTTCGTACAGCGAATTGTTTACGAGCAATCAGGTCGTCAAGTTAGGTGAATCAGTCTGTATTGTTTTAGTTTTTTTTTTTTTAAAGATAATACTTATATTTTTGTTGATCCGAACTTTAATAAATAAACATTATTCATAGAATTGTATTTTATTTCATCAGAAATTGAAATATTTCACTGAAAAGCAACTTCATTTTCTTTGTAACAACCTATCCTAAGTTTGCCGAGTTGCAAATAAATGGCTCCCTACGAAAAACTAATTGCAATATGTTAAATGTAAGCTCGGAATCTTAAAGTTCAATAAATTTAACAACAGATTAGTTCACAGTGAAGAGAATAACTACATTATTTCTCGGTCATTTTTAATGTTTTGTCGGTCATTTTAAAATTGTAACTTTTAGCCCCAGTCTCCCCTACTATCAGAAGATGCAAAGAAGTTAAAATAAAAAATGGTGTCCGGAAGTTTAGTCCAAAAAAATGTCTGTGATCTTGGAATGATCTTCATGATGATTTTGAGGAAACTCTTTTTATCCATCACCAAATGAATACGTCTTGAAACCATATAAACTTCTCGCAGTCATTTCTCCTTACTTTCATTATTAACGGAGATAATTTAGATGTGTTCATTATAAATGAGATACTTTGTATATTATACAGAAGAAAGTCTGTATAGTCGTAACAAGCGTCGTGACGATGAGACTGAAATAGAGACGTAGAAATGGCAAGTTCATATATGAAATGAGCTAACAGCAACAACACGGGGACTCTGTTGCTTTTTTTGTCACTTTCTCTTTCATTTTTTTGTAAAATGTAAGTACTCGTACTGATACACGAGGCGAGTCTGCGTGAATCAGGCGACACCAACGAACACGTAAGTATGTACTGAAAGCCGACGCAGTCGACGATAGAACAGATGAATGCAGACAACTTCACGTTATTCGGTGGTCGACCAGCGTCGAGCATGCACAATGATTATACGTCATCTCGTGCCTCGAGGCGTTCTGTCCGAATTATTTCGTCCTGGAATCGACGATTTCCTCTGTATTTTCGAGCCTAGTTTCTCTCCTGTCTTTTTCTGCCAAAATAGCCTCGACGCTTTTTTCATTCTTTTCATATACAGAGATACGCGTCTTTCGAAACTCTTTTCACTGTATTATTAGGTTATGCGTAGAGAAGGTGTTATATTTAATCAAATTCAAGGAACAGGTGAACTCGTTACATTTTTTCTAACTTTGAAAAAATTGTCCCCGAAGGGGTTAACCTTAATTTGGGTCAAAATTCTGTTGTGATTTTTATTCATAGAAATTTGACTGAAATCTAAATGTTTTCAAAATATTTAGAAATCGTCGATCCCAACGGAGAAAGAAGCCACGAACACCACACTTAAGCTTCTTCCATGCGGTAAAAGTCTGGTGATGGGCTACTTACTGTTCTTCTTGTACAGCAGGATCTCGAATTGATCGTGAATCTGGCCCTCGAGGCATTCCTCGATCCTGGCGATCGTCTCTTTGTCCGTCAACTCCCCGTACATGAATCCGCAGCGGCAGGACTTTTGCATAACCTATTAATAACCATTGTACAACAAAAAATGTTACCGTCATATTTCAAAATCTTTTTAAATTTTACGTTTAAATTAGTACATATATTTTTATTTAATTTTCCTTTCATAATTATAACCTTTTGCGTTACGATATTTTGATTTGTAAAAGGAAAAATAAATTGATTACTCGACGATGCTTTGCAGTTTTTTCGTTTGCAAGAATTCAATATCAAAGTTTATCGTTGCTTAGTGGTGGGAATAAATTGAAAAGATAAATCTGAATGCAAAGCGTCGTTGCAGAACAAAAAAAAAAAAGCTTAGGGGTGCGACGATTATGAAGAACAGGCTATTTACCTCGGCACGATTATAACCAGAGATTTTGCAAAAGCTTTCGTTGCAATAGACAATAGGGAAGTCGACGATCTGAGCGTTCGCCAGGAGAAAACTGCTATCAGCTGTGAACAGAAAAAAGAAAAACGCGTTGATCATTTTCTACAATAATGTACAGTAGATATTATTTTGCCTCTTTTAAATTCCTATTTCAAATCCTACACATAAATAGGTGTTCTAAGTGTGGAAAGGATAAGGATAGTAATAACAACATATTTTTTATTGAAATTTAACCTCCATAGAATTTTTCATCTTTTAACATTCATATTTTAAACTTGCTTTTAAAATCAAAGTGAGTGTGAATTATTGAAGCTTAATTTCCATGAAATTGTTCATATTTTAAAATTCGTATTTGAAGTATGTCTGTGAATAAAAGTAAAAAATGAAACCTGTGCAAAAAAGGTACAATGACAATTTTTTCATGTTGAAACACCACTTCCATGGAATTTTTCATTTTTTAAAAATTCTCATCTCGTGATTAATACGGAATGAAGATAAAAAGTGAGATTCATATGTAAAAATAAAAATACTGTGGGATCGGGGCCTCCATACCCGACTATAGAAGCAAGAATGATGGAAAATATGTAGCAAGGTTGGCGTACTGCACAGAGTCCCCATGGCTTTTGTCAGCCATAGGTCAACGGGTTCGATTCCCGTTAGGTCCCTCAAATGTTTCCTCGGTTCCTACAATACTAATAAAAATAATAACTAAAGTTCAATTCCCATAAAATATTTTATTCTTTTAAATTTAAATTTTCAAACTGTTCCCTGAAAATAAAAGTAAGAATTAGTGTTGCCTGGCAAGAAATCGCGACGAACCCTCGGTCTGGCGGATTATCGTCATAAACTTGTTCAATTACACTTGGCCGCCAGACCGAGGTACCGGTCCTGTCGCGCGTACCGTACCCGCCGTGGAGAGGTCACCCCCTGGGAAAACCTCCTCCAATGAGGAGTCAGCACCTACAACCCCCAGAAGAAATCGGCCACCAATCAGCAACTGGCCGAGCGGATAAAACTAAGGAAACGAGGCAGAAGCGCGTCCTTTTTTGGAAGTCTTGTCTAGTGGCGACATCACCTCAAGTATCACTCTGTTGCAAATAAAACTACTTTTTAGCATTTCACACTGAATAAATCAAGGTGTGATTAAACTCGCGTACCGGTTCGGCACTTAAGCATCGAACATTACGCGACCCCAACAATTAGACTTACTCAAAAGGAACTGAATAACACTGATGATAATTTTTCTCGTGGAAATTTCAGTGCTATAGTCGCTTTCCACTTGCTGGGACTATTCTAACCCCTTGAAAACTGTCAACGGCCATTTTAACGTTTATTCCAGTTGCGTTGGCCGTTGAAAAATCGTGAGAATTGCCTTGAAGTCTCCATAAAGTTACGAATCAAATGTCCAATTCTTTTACATGTTCGTACATATTCTAAATGTAAGTAGAAATTTCTTGTTTCAAGTAGAAATGGTTGAAAGTATTCGTTTTTTTTTTCGTTTTTTTAGTAGAACAGCAGCTGTTTCTTTATTATTGAAGTCGAAACAGCCGTATTTTCTCGGCCTGTTTGTCAAAACATGCAGCCAGCCTGTTCGCATTTCTGCCTCCGTTTTTCTTTACAGTAAATTCTCTACAAGTGTCAGTCGGTTTGGATTCTACAAGTGTTG